GAAGTGATTCTCATATCAAATTGTCGTGGATATGATGTTTCTTCATTTACTCATTTACTTCACTTTGACAAACTTAGGATTTTTATCAGATATTCTCATTCATGTGTCGAAACATGGAAACAATAAATTCACTTTGAAATCAGGAAGACAATCAAGAGATTTTTCGGATATATGCTACGAGGAAATTATCAATTCCAGCTAATGGTGAACCATAAGTACTCAACCGGCCTAATCTCTAATGGTCGTCAGACGTTGAATTAATTCAACATCAACGTCCAACGCATTTAAGATCAGCCATCCAAGGCAGCAATGAGCATTCAGTTAGTTATTTTTGGTATCCAACTTCGCACTGAGAGATAGGCCGATCATCGAGGTAGTATAGGAAAGGAGAAGACTCGGGAGAAGCCTTTTGAATGCTCTACACATGGTTGGACGCACTAATCGAGGCACTAATGTACCCTTATAACTCGCCTTATGATTTGGTTGGGCCTTGTGCAAATTCTCATCACATGAAAGATCGACTGGCAAAGTGGACCCAAAGAAGGAATCATTCCGTCAACATCCTTTAAGGACACTACCAATCGAGCTGCCTATGTAAGGATGATTACAGCTTATAAGAAAATATTCTGTTCTTTTATGACCGAGTTTATGACCGTTCTGACAACCCATAACTATGATACTGCGATTATGCAGAATTCACTTGGAAACGTAAAAAAGCTGATGGAAAATCGTTCCATGTATTGAGAGTATTCGATAAAATCATTCATTATCGAAAATGTCGAAGGTATCCACAACCGATGAAAATATATCCACATTCCACAAGAAAATGAGAAGTCCGAGTTCACTGCCAAGGTAAGTTAAACTTTTTTTTTCAATAATTTCACATCAATTGTTATCAAAATTGGCAGAAAGGCATAATTTTATGAACGGAATATTATTGCATGTATGAATTCCTGATGATGAAATCAACTGATAATTTTTTTTTGACAAAACTTTTCAGATATTTTCAATAAGAGATATGACACATTAACTTCATTTCTACGTGATATTTGTACTCTTGTTTAAAAACGATAGTCTCATCCGTTTTCGAGAAAAACGCAATTGAACAGTTCAAATTCTCGGAAGGGTATTCGGGTATTTCAAATAGCAATTCGTTTATGAAGAGTTTGCTTTGGACTTCCAGATGATTATTGCTGGTGAATAACATTTCTTGTTAATGAATTTTAGTGCAAGTTTATGGTCAATACTCTGTCGATTGAAACGCCCTGTATCTTGTTCCAAAGCAATATTTTATTGAGGCATATTTGGTCCTATCGCCATATTTCATTATAAACGATCAGTCGTTATAGCCTATATCCCGATAGTTATGCCTCACCCTGTTATTATTATCAATAAAGGTTTGTAACTTTTCTTAGAAAGGAGCTCGGAAAGAAGATACTGACGTGAATCAAAAACGATTGTATCAGGAAAGATCACACTTCAATGCAGAACATAATGAAGTTGAGTATAATCATAGACTACAGAAGATTGGTATAACCACACACTTTCATCAGAGGGTGTTGAAAGTTTTAAGGTGAAAGAGTAACTTGGTCAGAATTTTACAATAATTTGGCTAGTCTCCTTGCCCGCACCAACTCAATGTTTCCGACAATCCCTTGCGATAAATTGAAGGGAACGCCGAATAGGGCTCGTTAGCGGCTCACCTAAGCCGAATTCGTCCTTGGTCCACTGCACTTGACCCGTCAAAATGACCACTTCGCTATAATTCAATATTCAGTGGTATTAGCTAGGAAACTAGTTGATTTATGTAGATAGATAGATAGATAGATTCTTTATTGCTTTCAAAGACATTACAGTCCTATAGCAAGGATTCGGTTATTTCTGATAAACACTTTACATGGAAATGTGTACAATGCAAATTGTAATAATTGTCCTATACATATGTGCAAATATAAACAGTTTTGATTAATAACAAAAAAACGAACAGGAAGAAAGAATAGGGAAATGAGGCAAAGTTGATGATATCAACAAGTGCTACTCGTTTCTTGAAAATGCTCTGGTTTTTTAGTATATTCTAGATATAGTTGGCGATATTTTTGCATTTGAGTGGAGTAAGATTGTCGATGAAGTCAATCAACGAGTGGTTATTCGGGAGATGATCACTGTTTGGTATTCTGAAACTATTGTAAATCGGACAATCGAACAAAATATGCTGTAACGTTTCTGCAGAATTCAAATTACAAATTGAACATATCTCATTGGGATTTATTTTATATGAGCTTCCATTATATGTGAATTTGATGAAATATTTATTACATATTCTTAACTGCGATATTGTGCGAATGATCTGAATGGGCAAATGGAAATGTAGATAGTTAGCCTCAGCTTTTGTGACAGTTAATTGTTTATAAAATAGCAGAAATGTGGATCTCTGCAGGAGGGCGCGATCTTGTCCGTGGAGTTCACTTTTAGTTGATGTATGTAAGATAGTTTAACAATGATTTCGATATTTCCCAACCAGGGGGTGATTGGGAGGTTGGGAGTGAGGGTCCAGACCGGTCCAGACTCTCCAACTTGGCTCTCCAGGAGGAGTCCCTGAGCTCACGAATTTCGCACTCTATCTGGTTACAGATTCTCCTGAAGGCGCCTCTGGCTTCCGGTGTTTTAAGCCGTTGCCAGCGACGCCTCAGGACCTTCTTCTCTGCTATGAGCTCTAGAATTTCCTCCGGGAGTTCGTCCGGAGGAAGGAACACAACTCTAATGAACACCACGCTTCTGGCACGACAATCTACAAAACAATTTTATACGCTCTTGACTTGCTATCGTGGCAATATTTCCCGTATAGTGGTGCTATGGCTAGGCTCTAATGGTTGAGGACTCACCTAGGGCGAATCCGTCCTTGGTCCACTGCACCTGACCAGCCAGATTGGCCACTTCGCATTCCAGCATCGCCTCGCCGCCTTCTCGGATCTTGACGTCACGTGGCAGTGTGCGGAAGTACTGCTGCTGCCCGTCCGCGCAAGCGCACAGCGTAGCCACGAGGAACACTGTAAGAAAAAAAATGTTTCGAATTATTTGAGTGGTGGTCGTAAGAAATTAGGATATGCCACAGAAACAATCTAAGGAGATGATATAACTCGATATATCACTAGTTCCGGAATATGAGATCTGTGATTTATACAAAAAATTACACACGTTACCATGGCTACCGAGATGGCAATGCAATTTCTTGAACATATTTCGACGACAACAGGGGTGAATCACGTGGATAGTTCAGTGTACTCAAGACGGGAATTTCTCGGGAAGTCCGGGTATTCTTTGGGAATTCGACGAATTCCTAGGAACATCCAAAATACATTGGATAGTCCAGGTATTTTTTGGGAAGTTCGGGAATTCCTTGGTGAATCCGGCTTGGGAAGTTCGGGAATTCTTTGGGTAGTCCAGGTAGTCTTTGGAAAGTTCGGGAATTCTTTGGGAAGTCCTGGGAATTCCTTGGGTGGTCTGCGTGGTCTTTGGGAATTCCTAGGCATTTCTTGGGAAGTCTGAGAATTCCTTTTGAAGTCTCTGATCTGAGTATATCTTTGAAATAATTTGGTAGTGCAAAGAATTTTCAGAAAAGCATAAACCGAGGCATAAACTGTCTCTTCAAGATAATTCTCATGTCAGGGTCGGTCAGGGTTGTACTGCAAGAATCTCGCTTAGTTCAGTATAGCATATAGTAACACATGAAAAATACCTAGAATTCGATGCAAAAATAACAAATTTGAAAGAAAATAAGTGTTTCCATCAGAAACAATGAAGTTGACGGCTCGGTTGACGGGCTTACTACTTCTTAGGCTACCCAAGAATGTAAGCACTGTTAGAATGAGATTCCCGAGAAATTTCATATCATATTTGGGAAGTCCAGCTCTGTCACAGTCCAAGAACACAAGGAAACCGAGAAGAAAATTGAATAGTGACCTGTTTATACTATACTGAACGGGAGAGTTTCTGTTAGCTTTTCATTTCATAAAAGCTCCGTCTCACTACTTGCACAGCAAATGAGATAAGACCACATTGGAAATCGAAGTCGTTTCTCTAAATCACATTTTACGAGCATTCCTCGGCACCTCAGCATCCACTATCCACAACCAACATAATACAATTCGCCGGCTTTTCCCAAACAACAAAAACAAGTGCTTTGTCGTCCACTTTCCACATAGTGCCCTCATATTCATTACACAAATAGATGCGTTCAATTTCACTGGCAATTTTCCAAAAACCATTAGCTTCATTATGTCGGCTACTGATCCTGATGAACCACTCCATAGCGACGCAATGATAATCCATTACGTAAGCAGTCAAGCAGACGAACACAAATACGCTCAAGATGTATACAAAATATAGTGAATTACCAGCCGGCGTGCTATACTATTGCGAATTAATTCCAGCTGTCAAGTCAAGAGACGGGATATTGTCTCACACATTAAACTCCCACAGGGTCGTCCAGAGAGAGTTTGATTTACTAGTTGCATCGAGATCTCGATAGGATGAAGGGCAGGGCCAAACGTCTGAAGTTTTGATTCACTGATAACGAAAGGTGAAATAGAACCAAAGAGGGAGAAACTCAAAGTCATAACCACATTAGTTCACATATGCCGCGCAGAACGATATATATGCAACGATTCGTAGAGACGAATAGCCGCAAGTGATCATTACTACAAACAATGGCTCCTGTTCTATTACCACAACAATTTCAGTCTTCAAAGTCACCAAAATGCGAGTAAGTGCAATATTATCCTTGACGATTAAAGGAGGTTTTCTCTTCCGATCTAGATATTGATCTTCATAGTAGTTGTGGGATCCTTCAATCCAGCCCGAGATCCAGCCACATCTACTTAGCGTAGTCCTAGAAGAAGAGAGATACCATCAAGAAAAGTTTATGTTAAAGAGGAACAAGAACCCCTGCCGTCAGAGATCGTCTCGGAAATCGTCTTTGCTGAACTTTGGACATGATCAAGATGGTGTACAAGGAGCTGAAGGAGGCCTTTTTGAAGCTGATACCGCAGCCGGAATTGGAAGAAGACAAGGAAGAGATGTCTTTGACTCTGACGAATAACATGAAAATGGCTATCGGAGTGTATCACGCCGATCCTGGTGAGGATATGGCGAGGGCGAGGGATATGGGGAAGATGACCACAGGATGATTGGTTTCCCAAATACTATTAATTCGGACCAAAAAAAATTCAGTAACTCTTTTAGTTACATACATAATTATATAAGTAAGGATTCCTAGATGGGTTTTGTTGATACTGATCTCGATACTGATGTAAAATTCAATTATATATTCTATATTCATCATATTAGTCATGAAATGATGAATTAAATCATGATAGAATTTTTTTTCATTCATCATAATATATAGTTTAATATTATAATACATATGAGAAAACCGCGAACGATATTTCGAACATCACGAAGTTCAAGATTCTTTAGGACTTCTTATCTTCTTACTCCTCGACCTATACACCAGCCATCACGGCCATCATATCCTGAACATTTTCTATACATTTTTTCACAACCAATAATTCTTCACAATATTGATGAAACGAACTAAGAAACTATATGTGTCCTAGGATATCACCTCAGATATCACTTAAGGTCGTCTTTACGTTTTTGAAGATTATTTTGGATATGTGGAAATATTCGATAAGGTCTAGGCATGAACCTCGGCATGATATATATTCACCCCTCGCTATGCACTTCTCATCAAGCTTTTTATACGATGCCTCGCGATGCTTCATATTATGCCTTTGGAGAAACAATCATAAGGGCATCCAAGAGAAAATTTCGAGATATTGAGAAACTGATATGTCTCCTCGGTTAGGTTGCATGATTTTCACAAATACCCCACCTATTCCATAATTCTAGTAAGTGGAGACGGTTGAGAAGTCGAGTTGCCCACAAAAAAGTACTGTCTAGGTAGAGCAAGAGTTTAGGTATTGCTTTGAATGAAATAGGTACCCAGCTATCTACTTTTCAATCGTTTATATTTACTCTTCAATCTTAATGGGTACACCTACCTACGTAGCATCGTAGGTGTATGTACCACGCATATTATTACCGAGCATCACCGTATCTGGTCGAGACAGGTTCATTTCAAAACATCAGCATTTGCTGGGTCACTACCATTGGATCCTAATGCAATCAGTAACCCAATTCACGGCTTTGTTCCTACGCAGAAAGGCGTTTGTTTTAAGCCATCAGAATATTACAGGTATCTCAACAATGTATGCGAATGATTTCAACTTCTTTAATATAACGTATCATCGTGCGTCATCTTTTAGATACACCCTCAAGGTACACCATAGCTCGAGTCTAGTCAATGTTCTTTGAAGAATTCTAGGTAGTTTCTAGCTACGTTCCCTGTTGACTCGCTAGTTGTGATCTTCACAAAATGACATTGACAAACCATGTGCCAAAACCTCACGCAAAGCCCTTATCTAAAATTATTCATAAAACTATTTTCAACAATTTTCAGTTGCGCAATGTTCACTGAAATTGGAACATTTTTATTATGCTTCTCTTCTACTCGTTCAAGAAGGAGAAGATTATCAACATATATGTTGTGCCTCATATTGTGCCATTCTCTTGGGATTAAGGAAGACTTCTTGGCGTCAAGACAGAAAATTAAAATTTCAAATCCGAAGTTTACGTAAAACATTCCGTATATATGCGACGTATTTATATACATACGTGCATGGAGGAATGATTCCGTAATAAAAATTGGTTCTAGTGTATTTCCTCCAAGTTTCCACTACCCGTCCAGTCCTTTTTTTCTCCTATGCTTTGCAATCTCGTTAGGTACGTCCTTTGCAGCAGAAATAAACTTACTTTCCAACAGGAGCAGAATAACAAATTAAAGGAAATAACTTCTGCGAGGCTTTAGTCCTATGTGGGCAGTCGGGGTCAGTAAAAAATGTGACAGGGGAGTTGGCAAATAACAGGATAATTCCTCTCCTGGTTTATTGTCTTGTTTTGTACCAACAAGATCAGCCTGCCACTCTGCTACGTTAAACGATAATAAATTGGTTCGAGGATAGGTCCTTTTATATCTACATTCATTAGAGAAGCGCCAATCTGATTATCAAACCATCGCAGAATTGGAAAACAAGGTTATTTTGCTAAGTTGTATAGTATACTGTTTCCATCGGGGTTTTTCGAGGGGTTTTTGTTGTGTCTTCAAAAGGTTCTGGTATTGTGTATTAGCCGAGGTATTAGCACACATGTGTCAAAGAATCATGTGACGAATAAAAATATCCAGAAAAGGTATGATTAGATACGAATAGTTACGAGTAGTTATATCAATGATGTCAATAGATAGTTACCGAGATAGTTACTAAGTGAGAGAACAAATTTGGGAACACTGGAAACTCTGGATGCAACAAGTTTCAAGAATTAGTGGATTTAATATTCTCTGGCAGAAATTGGTTGAATAGGCTTTTCCGAGGGTTTTTTAACCGAAGAGTTTGCCATGTTATTTTGTGAATAGGTTCAATCGGGGTCGCAAGAAATCTGCCCTTGATCTCGCCCTTGTTGAACTCGGAAAATATCAGAAAATATCCTTGGTAGTGAAATGAAATGTATCGTTTACTATCGAGTTTGCTCCGAGGGGGCGACCACTCTCTGCAATACGTGTACATTTGGTCTGAAATCACTTGCAATCGTCACTGAAATCCCCTGAAATCCCGCAGTCAATTTGCAATCGCCGAAATCCCTATCTGCAATCCCGCAATCGCTTCCGCAATCGCGGAATTCATCGAATTCAATGATGGAGGGGATACGGCCATTTGCGGTAAACCAACGAAAGTATAATATATTTTATGTTTTTTTTCAGTATACGTTAATCTTTGAAGAATCTCTAGTGTAGTTTGAGTTTTGTGTGAAAAAATCGACATTATGTTGGTTCTTCGTTGACATAAAAAGGGAAACTATCATCTGACAGAAAAATTCGTTGTCGAGGTATGTCAACACGAAGTCAAAATCTTGGTCAAATGAATAATTCCACTTCTTCTGCCACAAAGAAAAAACAGAACAAAAAACCGTCAAAAGAATCGACGAATCATCATGTTGAGGAAACCTCGGATAGTGAAAGTGACGTATGCTATTCTGAGAAATCAGAATTTGAAAATGAAAGTTTTTCGGAGGAAGAATCAAATGGAGAGAAAGAAACGTCAATATGCATTGAAAAGTATTATGTAGCTATTTATGACACCTGGTATATTGGACGTATTTTAGAGATCCTCGAAAATGATACCTTTAAAATTAAGTTTTTGAAATCGGAGCTGGATATGTATACAGGCTGATCCACGGTGGATGGCCTATTAGAAGTATCTGGAGAACGAAAAGACAGAACATTCTGAAAATTGGGATGCTTCGATAATTGAACATTCTCTATCCGTCTAAAATATTTTCATCGATTCAGTGTTGTCACTTCTATCAGAAACAACTAGCAACTTCGTTATTTTGAATAGACCACCCTGTATTTTATTGAATTTTTAGATTCTCCTTAAAAAGCTGATTTCATCAATGTATCACACTTAGGGTCTAGCAGGAATGATTCCAGAGATATAGGGTGTTCATAATCGAGATTTTTCAATTTCAGGATTTTTTTGTGTCGAGAGTATTCATTATTGATCAAAACGGTTTACATGTCCCTATCTTAACTTTCGATTCACTATCTACTGACATTTAATTGGAACAGATACAGGGTGATCAGAATTCTGAATCTTGGAGCACCCTGTATTTTTTCCAATCAAATTCCAGTAGATAGTAAATCAAAAGTTAAGATAGGGACATGTAAGCCGTTTTGATCGATAATGAATAGTTTCGACACAAAAAAATCTTAAAATTGAAAAATCTCGATTTTGAACACCTTATGCGAGACCTTATGTCTCTGTAATGATTCCTGCTAGACCCCAAGTGTGATACATCGATGAAATCAGCTCTTTAGAAAGAATCTAAAAATTCGAAATAACAAAGTTACTAGTTGTTTCTGATAGAAGTGGCAACACTGTATCGATGAAAATATTTCAGATGGATAGAGAATGTTCAATTATCGAAGAATCGCAATTTTCAGAATGTTCTGTCTTTCCCTTCTCCAGATACTTCTAATAGGACATCCACCGTGGATCACCCTGTATATGGCCTAATAAGGAAGATATTCAAGTTGTAGAAAAAAAGTACATATTGTATGGACCAATCGACTTAGTCGGTAATGGACCTTTCCGCCTCAAAAGAAATGATATAATGAATATTGAGAAAAAATACAGAGATTCAAAGAAACAGTCAATTCGCTAACATGAATGCCAGTATAATAATTATGCTATGTTCACTTTTATAAAATGAAAAACACCAGAGTTGAAAGCAGGGTTGGCATGAATTAATTCATATGAATTAAATCAGTGATTTAATTCGTGAATTAATTCCATTGACTTTTTTCGAAAAAGTCATGAATTCATTCAAATTTTTAAAAATGAGACAAATTGCACTATTACCTTTGATTTTAACTAGTATAAACTGAAAAATTCGATCGTATTTTGGCAAGACTTTGTTATTTCAAGCATGACAGAGATTTTTACCAACAGATATAATTCAGTATCAAGTATCATCCATAAAGTCCATAAAATATGAGAACAGGTTCATTATCACAGCATCGAATTTTTTTCTCTCGGCGATCCATTATGCATATTCGATATCATGAAAATCGATTTTGACACATGTCACGTGATCACTCTGGTATGGTGATAAATAAAAATAATACTATAAAGCGACGAAAAGTGGGGTTAGATAACAAAATATTCATAAACATTTCTTATCAAGTTGCTATTCTATATTCAGTTGCCAGCAATTTTTGGAGGAGAATTGGAAATAGCTATATTTTTTCAAATATTCTTCAATTTTGTTACAGTTCCCTTTTTTTTCTGACAGTAGTGATGTTGATGATGTACAAGTTGAATAGAATTCAATTTCATGCTCACCTAATATGAAGTTTCCAGTCATTATTTGAGAAAACTGAAAATAGCTATTTTTATTTTTTTTAATAACTTCATCTTCCCATCTTACTCCACTTTTTGCCATCGTAATTTTTTGAATTTGGATTTACCGCCATACCAGTGATCAGGTGACGTGTGTCAAAATCGACTTT